CTATACTACCAAACGGCTCGTGCACTTGCGAGTATCACAAGTTGAGGATGCAACTGAATCCATTTTGGTGCAGCTGTATCTACACAACATTAAGCATAGAAGATAACACATCACTGACAATTATGAATAAATATGGAGATATAGGGTCCCCCTGGCGAATTCCCCTCGATGGCTTGAAACCACCCCTGCCCTTCCATTGATTATCACAGAGAATTCCACTAAAGAGACACAGTTCATCACCTTTTGCACCCAAGCCTCTGCAAAACCCATTTTCAATAACACTGCTTGGAGGATATCCCACTCAATTCTATCGTAAGCTTTGTTCATATCCAGCTTCAGCCCCATTTCAAAAATGCTAGTAGCTCTTCTAATCTTCAGAGAGTGGAAAGCCTCATGTGCAATAAAAATATTATCTTGAATCTGCCTTCCCGGAATAAACGCACATTGTTGGGGAGAAATGATTGCATCTAAGTGGGGTTGAAGGCGATTAGTGAGAATCTTCGAGATTACCTTGTAAGAATAGTTGCACAGTGCAATAGGGCGGAATTGAGTGACCAACTCCGGACTCAGCACCTTTGGAATAAGAGCAATCTATGTTACATTCATAGCAGAAATATTTTCGTTCTCTGAGAAAAATCTTTTAACCATCCCACACATATCCTCACCAATAATGCTCCAATACTTTTGATAAAAGATACCAGAGAAACCGTCAGGCCCTGGGGACTTTAGGGTCCCCATTTGAAAAACAGCATGTCTAACCTCCTCATAATCTATTGGGGCATCAAGCTTGAATTAATATCCTCAGTGATTATTGGAGAGACAAAAGAATGCATCCCATTGGTGTTACCTTTTTTGCATTGGGATCTATATATAATCATTATATTGATTTGAGATTTATGAAAGAATATACAAATCTGGATGGATAGCACAGCATGTGGGGGATGTATTCAATTATTCTTGCTAATGTATATTTTTTTCGAACATTCTTGCTAATATTTATGTCTATGTGTAGCTGAAAATTATCATATAGAAAACTTAATATAACAAAAGTTTTCGGTCATGGAATTGCTTGATTTTCCTTTAATTTGTGATGAATTAGTAAAATAAGAAACCGGAAAAGTACGAACAAAATACGTACGTGTTTTATTCAGCAAAATTTTGACAAAATACAAATGAAAAGTTCGGCCACTATATAATATATATTTTTTCATTTCTTTACTTCAATAATATGTGAAAAATATGTGAATTCTGTATGTATTATTGACAATTTTGTAAAAAATACGTGTATTAAATGTGAAGAATACATACATACATGTATAATACGTTGTATTGTATGTTTGATTTTAAAAATGTATATTTTATTGAGTCTTTAAGATGTGTACGGAAAATAACAGTATTTTAGAAATATAAGTATGTATGAGTATAATACAAGTTTAAATGAAAAATGCTACCTAGTTATGAGTAGGGGTGGGCATTTAAACCGTAAAACCGAAGAACCGAGCCGAACCAAACCGGAAAAAACCGAAAAAAAATCGTGTTGACCAAAACCGGACCGAGTTGACCAAAAACCGGACCGGTTCAAACCGGTTCCAGTTCCGGTTTGCTGTTTTAAAAAACCGGATTAGACCGGACTGGACCGGTTATTTATTAAATATATCATTTTTAAAAATTAATTATTTAAATATGCCATATTATGATTAGTTGGTGCACCGATTCTACATAATTTATATAGAAAGGGCTGCACATAACCTCACCCCATTTATCTTTTAGTTGCTAACCCTAACTCAGATCTCTCCTCATCTCTTCTCCCCTTCATTATTTTCTCAGCCGCCCTTTCTCTATTCCCTCTTCCTCCTCTCTCTCTCTCTCTCTCTCTCTCTCTCTCTCCCTCTGTGACGACAACGCTCAACTAGGCAAAGCTCAAGGTACCTATTTTCCTTGTTCGGTAGTTTACAATTTTAGATTTATGTGGATTTTTGGACTTGGAATTGGTTTTGGTGAAATGGGTTGTTTTTATTTGTGTAGGGAGAGCTTGTGCGTGCTTTAGGAGGCGCTGTAGCATCCACTTTTCTTTTGCTCCAAAGGGCCATGACCTAGGTTTCCTTTCTCTCTTTTACTACTAAAGCTGCAAACTTTGAATTGTTTTTTGGTTAATTTTGACCGGTGATATGTGTAAATTCTTTATTTTAATAGGCACTTTTTATATTCATGAAAGATCTGCAATTTAGTGAATTGCTTGTTGTTGTTGATGACGTCTTCTTTCTTTGTGGTTGTAAAGCATATCATAGGCCATGTTGGTTGTCCATACCTTTTTGACTTTCTTTATGCATAAAAATCATATATAGTTATGTTTTTGTTTATGTAACAATTCCCACAACGATTACCACAACACTTGTTATTTGTTTATGTTTTCTCTTGTCATCTGTTATTTGTTTTTGTTTGCCTTTTTGCTCATGAATTCTCTTTTTCTACATGCAGGGGCTGGGAGAGGATCTTAATAGAGAAGGCTTGAAGAAAATGCCTCTTCGTGTTGCCAAGAGACCTCCGAGAAGGAGCAAGGGGAAGATGGAGCATTTTTTTTTTTCACTGGAAGATGGAATAGTTTGAATGTTATTTATGTAATTTTATTTGCTATATGTGTTTTTCTTTTGTTATTGGGTTGTAATTTTAAATTTAATGTTTGCTAAATTTTGTTTGGGACAATTGGAAGGGAATTAGGCTAATTGTGAATTTGTAAGCCCAAAAATTTTTAAAAATTCAATTGGGCTTAAATCTCTTTAAAATTCCAAAAAAAAAAAAGGGCTCAAGAGCCGGTCCAAATTGGAAAACCGGAAACCGAACTGGATATAAATAGGTTCGGGTTGGTCCGGTTCTATAAGGTGTTTTAATGAAAAACTGGACCGGACCGGACTGGATGAACAGTACCAGTTTCGGTTTCGGGTTTAAGAGAGAACCGGGCCGAATCGGACCGTGCCCACCCCTAGTTATGAGTCATGACTAACGTTTTAGCTTGCAGTTAGATATGATATGCATATTTCAAACGTGCTAAAATGTGAACAATGATATGGTCTATAATCTATATGCATTGTGAAGGCTAAATAAAGTAAAAGACTAGTTATTTATATGTATACCTTGTGAGGCTAAATAAAAAATGTAGAGGGGAATGTGCTCAAGTCTATAAAGGAGTCATCAAGGGAGGTAACCCAATTTTTGTGATTGGAGACCCCATGAAGAAAGTTCAATATGGTAGAAACCATTCATACTGTGTGGCTTATATATAGCACTTATATTATTATGCAGATATCATTGAGATATTCTTCCGCTCATCCTTAGGACGTAAGTGCTATTTTATGTGATGTTAGGAAGGGTCTTAAATGTAAATGAGTTTTATCTTATTATTAAAATGTTTTAAAATATTTTTTATATTTAATTTTGATTTTGAAATTTTTTTAATAGTTAAAATTACTAAAATACCCATGCTATGTCATCAAGTTAACGGTTTTACTGACCAATTTGACGGAATGGGGAAATGGGGAATGCAGAAATAAAAAATAGGATATATTGACTCAGTTTGAAATATAGGGGGTAAAGTAGGATTTTCGGTGAAGTACAAGGGACACATTGATAATTAAGCCTTTAAATATTTATGGAGGAAAATGGATTTAACCCTAATAATTATTTTTTTGGGTAATATCCGTGCATGTAATGGTAAAGGTACCAATTGGTCCAACAGTGAAAGCCCAAAAACTGAAACAAACCAATTTGTTAAAATAGTTTTATGGCCCATTTCTATTCCATGGGCTCTATCCAGATTAAAACGGAATAGTTATAATAAGCAACTCTGCTTTTTCTTGTAAGAAATTGTTTGTTTTCTTTTCGTGCGTAAGACTTACGAGCGGGAACTGAGTAACTCTGCGTTAGAGCTACGACGGGGAAGAGAAAACATGCCCTCCCTCACGCATCCCCCTCCTCTATTTATTTGCTCCTCTCCGTTTTCTTCAAGCAATCAGCTCCTCCTACTTCTCGTTCAGTTTCTTCTCCTTCCTTCTGCTCAGATAACTCTCTCTCTCTCTCTCTCTCTCTCTCTCTCTGTGTTTCGGATTTTACTTGTATGGTGAATGCTCACTGTTTCTTTATCTTTTGAAAGTCGACAACGAGCCATTGTCACTATACCACGCTTGCTTGAGTGCAACTTCAATGTCGAAGTTCATGGCTGCTCCAAATGCAAATTTAAATTCGAATTCAAATCCAAATCCAAATCCAAATCCAAACAACTCCTTTGAGGTAAATTCATTGTCGATTTTTCTTTGCCTTCATGTATTTATTTTCTGAGTTAATTTAATTTGATTTTGTGTGTTTTTTAGGTCGCTCAACCTCCAAACGACTCCATATCAAGCCTAAGTTTCAGTCCCAAGAGCAACATTCTGGTCGCCACCTCCTGGGACAACCAGGTTCATGTTCTTTTTCTTTTCTTTCGTTTTTTTTTTTTGGTTTTATCAGTTATAAAACCTTAGGTTTTGTTTGTTTGCTAAGAAATTTATTTGTAGAGATTTTGATTGAATTTCTGTGACCATCTTATTGAACTTGTGGTTTATGGACAACCCAGAATATAAGTCAATATGCTATGAGGTTAATATAAATTTTTTTGGTATAATCTGCTTATGTAATTTATGTTAACTGAAATAAGATAAACAAGGGGCATTTATAATTTCTTTTCTTTTCCGTTTTCTTTCTTTCGCAACCAAACAGTGTATTGTTAGGATTTACTAATGACTGGTGGTGTTCCCTTGTTTAGGTGCGATGCTGGGAGATACACCAGAGCGGAACAAATCTTGTCAGTCAGCCCAAGGCAGCGATATCCCATGACCATCCGGTAACATATCTTATTGCACATTGTTTAGGCCAACTTGCTTTGTTTTCGATTCTCAAGCTTGATTTTGAACCTCTTTTACAATTATGGATATATGCACAGACTGGCTTACAATGAGTCAATTATAACTTCCTATCACAGCGATGGTGCGAGTTAGAAATCCCTGTTCAGAATTTAAATTCTAGATCACCTGTCTTTACTTGTAGAAGGACAGAATAATAATTGTAATTATGGTAGGTGTGCGACCTGTTTGCAAGATCTTAGGTTCCAATGAAGATGTCAAGGACAATTGCATGTGCAATTGTTATATGGTGCTGATTTCAAAACAAGTAAATTTAGTAGTATTTTTATGCAATATTATTTGAAAAGATAGAGGCTTTTTTTGGAGTAATGAATGAACATGTGCATTTAATTTTAGACTACATGGGATCAATGTATGGCCTTTGAGGAAATTCTGTGATATCACTTGCAACTTTTCTTTCTTTCTTCTTTCTTGTAAGCTGGTCAGAAGTTTATAATATGATTCATGACTTTGTATACACATATAGTAATATACTCCATCTATGTAGGTTTTGTGCTCAACTTGGAAAGAGGATGGAACAACTGTGTTCTCTGGAGGTTGCGACAAGCAAGTGAAGATGTGGGCTTTGGGTGGCCAACCAGTAACGGTTGCCATGCATGATGCACCCATTAAAGAGATTGCTTGGATCCCTGAGATGAGCCTCTTAGTCACAGGAAGCTTGGACAAGACTATGAAGTAAGTAAAACATAGCCTTTGTTCTTATGTATTTTGAGCTATCTGAAATTTATACACCAGAAATTTGTGTGGTATTCTTTCTAAAATAATTCATTTAAGGTTATGGGAGAATGTTGTGCTTTGCTATTGCCAGTTTGGCACCCTTTTTGCTCATATATTTTCTTCTTTGTTACAGAATGTTCTCATTCATCTGAGAACTAAGTTTCTTGTAGTTGTTGATGTGTTGTATTGTTTTTCTACCTTAACTTATTTCATAAATTACTAAAGCTTTGTCATCTTGCCTTGATACCAAATTTTCTGTTTTTTTATTTATGATCTTCTCTGCCTATCTTTAGGTATTGGGATGTGAGGCAGCCAAATCCAGTGCATACACAACAACTACCTGAGCGCTGTTATGCTCTATCAGTGAGATACCCTCTAATGGTTGTTGGCACTGCAGACAGAAATCTGATTGTTTTTAACTTGCAGAACCCACAGGTAAATTTTATTTTTAGGAGTTATCAGATTAGATTTATTTTATCAATTTCATGCAAGAAAATCACATTAAAAAGAAAATCAGGCTTACTTATTTAGTAACTTTGTTCACTCCTAGTTTCAAAAATTAACATTTATATAGGCTGTTTTTATATTATAAAAATTTGGCGGTACTATGATGATAAGCTTCTCTAGTTTTTTAGTTTTCAATTCCAGTGAATCACTTTTCCACAATAAATTGCAACGGTGCTGGGATATATTATCTGTGTGATTTGATCACCTCCATGAAATTCCAGTAAATCACTTTTCCACAATAAATTGCAACGGTGCTGGGATATATTATCTGTGTGATTTGATTACCTCCATGAGTGTTCTCTGTTTTGCTTCTAAATTTAATTATTTCCAATCACCAACAGACTGAATTCAAGAGAATTCTTTCGTCCCTAAAGTATCAAACAAGGTGTGTTGCTGCATTTCCTGATCAGCAAGGATTCTTGGTAAGTATTTTCTCTTGTGCTCGTAGTTTTCTGTTTGGGTTCTCTCTGAAAATGTAGTTCTCCTCTTTTTTAAATAGCTTGCTTAGAATGACAAACTATAATATGGTATTCTTGCATAATTATTTCCACCAAACATGAATTCATGGTGTGCTTTCTTGTTTATGACTAGCAATTGATTAATGTGATAATTTCTGGAGAGTGGAGACACAAGTAAATCTTAGTTATCTAGGGGATATAAAAAATACAAAGTGGTGACCAGTTTATTTAAATATTGTAATTTCTCAAAATGAGATTAAGAAGAAAAAAAAGAGAGGTTTAAATGTTTGTTGATAGTTGATATGCCTCTTTGTCATCAGTTCTTCCATTTGCCACTGTACTTTCTTTTCTTGACTTGTGTGATTGTTGATCATGATGTAAGATCATTAATACTCAGTCTTTGCTTCATAATTATTATATTCTCTGAATAGTTAACTAATTATGATTCTGACATTATGATGTAACCAGGTTGGCTCTATTGAAGGGAGGGTTGGTGTACAACATCTGGATGAAAAACAAAATGATAAAAACTTTACCTTTAAGTGCCATAGAGAGGGCACCAGGATATACTCAGTCAACTCTCTGAACTTCCATCCAGTATGATTTTCCTTTGTCTTTTTCCTTTTTCATATGGATATTTTTTTTCTTCTGGATAATGCACTAAGGGGCTAAATAATGTTTGTATTTCTTCTGGTTGATTACCTTAAACTTAAGAAACCTCTTCATTAATTTAGTGTTCTCATATTTCAGTATCCTAGTTAAGAAAAAATCGCTGAGATTGTTTTGAACCTTGTCATCCATAGACTATGATGTTTTTGTAGAAGTATGGTATTAGTATCATGGGTTCAGTCCTCACCTTAAGATTACACGATTTGGATATTATTCTATCTATCGTTCAGGTTTCAGATTTTTGATATCAGTGGATTTATTGGCATATGCACGAATTTTAGAGTTTCCTTTAAATATATTTCAGTTGATTTTGTTCTATTATATGAGGTAATGAGTCGTGTTGGAAATTGCCACCCCTACTTTGAGTGCATTTGGATCAACTTTGTTTTACCCAGAATTATGACTGGGAATGCCTAATTTTGATATTTTCTATGATCAGTCCAAACTCTTTTTTGTAGCATTCATTATGGTTCTTGTTAGGTTGTTCAAAGAAATGATGGATAAATCTGTGTTTTCATGTTCTGTTACTATTATTTGTAATTTTAAAGCTTATTTGAGTCCCTTGTCTCAGGTGCATCACACATTTACTACTGCTGGTTCTGATGGTTCTTTCACTTTTTGGGATAAGGATAGCAAACAGAGACTAAAGGTTTCTCCCACATCTATTTTGTATTTCTTTTCTCTTTGTATTATGTGCTTCTTAACTGTTAGTTCTGTTCTGAAAAGTAAAAGTTGCTGCTAAGCTGGCAGGCTTACTTTGTTGTCTTTAATTCTGCAGAATCCATATTCTTTTTCTGGCATGTC